ACGTCGCCCGCCCCCACAGCCCCGCCACGGCCGCCTGCGCCGCCCGCAGCAGCGCGGGCGTCGTCGGGCGCCCCTGCAGCGCGCCGCCCTCCACCCACTGCCACACGGCCCTTCCCTTACCACGCGCGCCCACCACTTTACAATAAACGACATACTAAAACACGCGTGCCTTGCTTAGCTTAGTAAACAATCCTTTTCTTTCGCTTATTATATGAAAACCTATGAAAACACGGCTCTAACATCAATCTATAATTTTGTAAACAACCTTTTCTTTGGCGTATTAAAAATAATATATTTATTGAGTGATAGTTTAGTGATTCCGAGCTCGTCAACTGTCAGAGTCATTAGGCCCGTAAGTGTAATGCATGTTTTTGCTCGAGAGGAGGCGATGATATTTCCCTCGCTGTATGGCGAAATCCAGGGACGACCTACCGACGGCTAGCGGGGTTTTTCCGAACCAGGTGTCTCCCACCAGCGAGTCACCACCTCAGCCGGGATAAGCTCTTAGCTCCCGAGAGATCTCCTGGCATGTGTGGAGGTGCAGTGCGTGTTAGTGTAAGTGAGTGTGTGTTGTAAGTGAGGATAGGAGGAGTAAGAGGAAGGAGAGATCGCGCGCGGTCCGTGGTCCGTTCGTTAGGGTACTGCTCCGGCATTCGCCAGGTGTTGAACGCAGAAAACACAGAAAACTACCCATCAGAGAAGCCGGACGCTAATTCTCCTCCAGACGGCGACTGAATTCGACCTGCCTGACAAGCTAGTGTCGGAAATCTAGCCACCTTCGGGAATCCTGCCACCGTCAAGGACCTCTGATGCAGTCAGAGGGAATGCATTGACATTAGTTGATGCCCTGAGCCATCTCTGTAAGTGGAATATATTAAAAACACACCTTAAACAACAATTTGAAATTTTGTAAAGTACTATTTTTTGTATTATTATAAATAACTATGAAACCTACAGACCTTTAACACCAATCTATAGTTTTGTCAATATCATTTTCTTTCACTTATTTCAAAGAACGTATTACAATACACCTTCAACAACATACTATAGTTTGTAAATAACTCTTTTTTGACGTAATAGTAGAGACGTATGGAATATTACATTAAACGCTTATTATAGTTTTGTAAGTGTTCGTTTTCTTTGGCTTATTATAGGAATATTTTCAAACGCTCCTTCTTGAATAATAGAAAACTAATGCAATTCCAGTATTCGAAGTATATCAATATTAGGGTTAATGGCGGATCTCACAATAAATTTCCAAGTAATTGAAGGATATATTTCTATATTTAAGTACTATGGTCAAGACATTTTTCATTACACTTCGTAAGATAAAATTCGTATTCTGTAAGATAAAAAGGTGGTCCTCGGGTGGCTCATGAATAACGTGCTAGCATTCTGTGAGGTGGCCTGTGTTCGATTCCCGGCAAAAACTAAGCCGTAACTTTCTAATACAAATAATCTCAGTTTCTACAGCTGTGACGAAATAAATAAACTGCAGACCAAGTTAGCTAGTTACGGTGATGGAAATACGTCATGTCTGCCACATGTCTTCTTTATCCCCCGGCGTGGATAATAAATAATAATTGAGTACATGTTTGGGAAAACTTCTAGCGGGCAAAAGTCGGAATAATCTGGACCTAAAATTCTCAACACACACACACACACATCCACTAAAATATTTTAAAATTTTGGCGGGTAGCAAGAAAATATTTTGAAAATCTTCTGTGTGTGTGGTTCTTTTCCAAAAATGAAAATGGCCTTATATTTGTAATTTGTTTTAAAGAACTAGTTCAGCAGTTAGAATGTTGATTCAAATAATTACTTATTCTAGAAAAACTTGAAATCTTGTTTAGAACTGATCTGGCTTTAATAGAACCCCAGACTTTGCACGTTATTACATTACTCATGGCGACGGTTTGTATTTGTTTTGTGACCATCCGAGTTGAAATAATAAACAAACTCTTAAGGCTGAGAAATGTTTAAATAATAAATGTTCTAATCGATGAAACAAACGCCTTACTTTAAAAAACGATAAAGCCAACTACAGTCTATCCACTTTACTACGAGACTATTAAATCGTTGAGTGTTCATTGAGTTATTGGGATTTTTATAATTGTTATAACTATTCTACTGAGGGACAATTAAAAAACAAAGAGAGGTAATAAGAGGATTATTTTTTGTATGATTGAGACGTGTGTCGATTTGTAACCTGTACTTGTGATGCTACTGGTGACAGGACGAATACGCAGTATATGTACGTCGTGTATGTTGTCATCGATGGCTTACAGCCGTCCACTCAGAACAGACGATGATGTAGACAAGAATTATCGAAACGCGGCAGATATCGATTGATTTTTTTAGTTAAAAACCATCTTTTGCGCTTTTTTAAAAAAAAACTTGTGCGCTTGATAATAAAAAACACATGCTCTGAGTACAGAGACCGCAAAAGAGTATGACACAA